AGTAGACACACATCAGACATACACCAGCACCAAGAGATCATCCCACTAGGACCTATAGATAATCAGATTGAATTCAATATCAGTTGTGTGTAACATTTGCATAAGTAAATCAGTTTGGGGCTACACTGCACACAAGTTTCATTAGACCATTATGTTTTAACAACTGATAATTTGTTTGCTTCATACACTACTGTGCAATGGAAGAGAATACATCTAAGAATTAACAACAAACCTGTCAATCAATGTTGTAAAAAACAAAAAATATTCCTGCTATGACTGGTCAATGCTTCTTGTATTGTATCGTGGTCGGGGACGATTCTGTTCAGTATTGCGATATTTTGCGCGTACATTTAAATCGATACAGTAGAACAAGTTTAACAAATTCTGAGCTGGTTGAGGACAAAAGTACAAAGTATAGTGGATTTTTTTTTTTTTTTACATACTTTTTTTGAATGGAGCTTGGATGTTACTTTTAGTGGCAAATGTCTTTCTGTGCCAAATATCAAGAAGAAGAGATTTTGGATGAATGCTAGAATCTTAGAACACTTTAGATTGTATGGTTTTAAAACAAAGCTTTAAAATGTTGTATAACACGCCATAGCCCATTTCATCAATGCTGCAACGTACTGTAATAATAATAAAATAATTTCAGGGGCCACTAAAAGTTGGTTTAGAGTTTGACAGCCCCATTGCATAGCGTCCTCGGTGGCATGTCACTTTTATTAGATGACTTTTCCCGACTGTCCCTATCACTTCTTTTGCTGTCCACAAACATAACATTTACTGGGCGTTTGAAAGAGACTTGCGCAATTATAAACAAGTCAAACATGGCTTGTTTTCCTCAAAGGTTATCTGTCATCAGTGGCAGATGGCTCTCCCTGTTGACATGCCAACGGAGCGCTGATGCTGCTGATAAATGGCAGTGAGCGGGAGCGCGGCAGCTACAGGCCAAACCAGACCGCTAACCGTCTCTTTGTCGTTTGACCTTTAAACCACGCGCTGTTTTAAATGTGACCACGGAGAGTTTGACAAAAAGACTTTGTAATATAAACAGGGAATCATCACCAGCGGCTTTCTACAAACAGACAGAATATGTATTATGCGGTGAGATTATGGGTCACCACAACAAAACAACCTACTTTTACTTATACTTCAAACCAACGGTAGATCGCTTTCAGGAGGTAGAAAATCCCTTGAAATTAGGGCTGCAGCTATTATAAGATAAGATAAAAGAACATGTATTTGCTCTTTATTCATCCCACAATGGTGAAATATTGGTTCAATTCAGTTACATTTGTAATTGAATCAATTTGTAAAGATAAGATAAGATTAGATAGACTTTATTGATCTCACACAGGAGAGATTTACATGTCACATCTGGCATGGATAGAATCACTCAAGATTTGTGCAAAGAAAGAAGTGTGCAGACACGTTAAATGCAGGATATATTGTACAATAAAAAAGTGGCAATTAATGAAACAGTGGCAATAGTAAGTAGTAGTAAGTAATGTTTATTTATATAGCGCATTTTACAGACCAAGGTCACCCAAAGCGCTTTACAATGTTCAGAGTTCAGATATTGTTCCAGTCATTCCACACACGGTGATGACGAAAGCGAGTCACCGAACATACTGGCGCATCAGCCCCCAATCAACACCATCCATTCACTCTCTCATTTACATTCAGACCTATTGTGCATGTTTTTAGTGGTAGGGGAAACAGGAGCACCCGGAGGAAACCTACGCAGACACAGGGAAAACATGCAAACTCCACTCAGAAAGGCCCTGTTCCGAACAGGATTCAAACCCAGGACCTTCTTGCTGAGAGGCGAGAGTGCTATCCATTCAGCCACCGTGCCGTAATAGTAGTGCAGTTTTTTTTTTTTAAAGCCATAAATCCAAACAAAGAGCGAAAACAATGTATAAAATAACATAACAAACATGTGGCAAGACAAGGCAAGTTAATTTATAAAGTACAATTCATATACAAGGCAACTCCATCTATCCATTTCTTCCCCTTTGTCCAAGTCTGGGTAGTGGGGGGGACGATCAGCTGCCATCCAATCCACATGGCACCAGCCCCTCACTGATCCTCCTGCAGGGGGTGAGTCCACAGGAGGAGAGAGCATAGCCTTTGAACCACTCAAAGGCTATGTGTATAATTAAGCATCATACACTGTGCACTTTCTGACCAGAAGATGTTCTAACAATGATGCCATTCAAGTGCCACACTTCAGTCAATGAACACAACTGTTCTGGTCATATTTGGATTGGTGATTATGTTGGCCACTAAAGGACCCCAAGAAACTATCCAACTCTTCATCTATGCAATTGTGTGGCTCACTTTAGTTTTAGAAGCAGAACATTGCAGAGAGAAGGCATTAAAACCAATCTCATCTGACTCTCATCTCCTTTATTAGTCCATTTCTGGGTCTGGGGGGTGGCAATCAGAGCTGCCAGTCCTCAACTGCAGACATCAGTGGGAGCAGATCCAAAAACCAATGCTCTACCAACTTGTTTTTTCATTTTAGTGACAATTTTGAAATAAGCAATTATATTCCAAAAGTGGTCCTATGCAAACGATTGTTCAAACTTATTGTGCTCCCATTCATCCTAATTAAGAATGTTTACATGGTTATTTAAATCACATATTGGACTACACCTTTGTTTCGCCGGCAACAAGATAATCAAGCACCGCAATTGGAAGAATAAAAGCCATATTCTCATTATAGTTGGAATCCATTTTTGGAGCAGAAAATTGCCTCTTTCTTTTTGGTGAAAATCAGGAACTTTTCAAAATGAACAAGCCTTGTGCTCTGCCAGGTTCAACTCAACATCAAACTCAGAAAGCATACGAATTACTCAATCTTTTAAAAGCCTTTTACTGATCAAATTAAACACCGCATTGTCATTCTGCCCAGGCAACAAGAGATATTAGAATGACAAATTAGCCCGAAGAGCAGCAGTTCAAATGAATAATGCATTCCTACAAACATTGCACAGACAGAAATCCTACGAGAGAATCAACATTTTCTCCAATTTAAGCCACCAGTGTGTTTATAATGAAGCTTGCGTCATGACTTTGTGTGCAAGACTTTAATATTTAATATGCCAGTCATGAACGTGAACTTGAACGATAGCTTTGTAGAATGCAAGGCCTCAGAAGAAGTGAAAAATGGGTCACGCAACTAAAGACTGCTACTGTTGTAATGTGCCACTGTAGGAGGAGGTATGTATTAGTAATGGAAGTATAGAAGGTAAAAAAATACATGTTTGGAAATGTTTGTGGGAAGCCAGGTTGCTGTATAGAAAGTGTCCTGGATTAAGTAGCTCCTCTGCAGTGCAAAAAATGATAAAATATGAGTGTTTTTATTATCTTTCTGACTGTCTTATATAGCCATGCTAGAATCGTATATTGATTGGCAGTAATCTGACAATACATACATTATGAATATGACTCTTAAGATTACATGTATTGTGATGTACAGAATATGGTAAGGATTTGGCGCTTAGACCCCAGCAGAGCACAGCACGATTGCTGAAGGAGCTGGGCCGGAACGGAGATGGGGAGGAGGAGGGTTGTTGCGTGAATGAAGCTGCTGCTTAGATGGAGCTTCTGCGTGATATGAAGCTGATGAGGGCAGTGTCTGATTGCTGCAGGTGAGGATTTGTGTGAGGCACTGCGCAGCTGAGTGTGATTGACTGATAGCTGTTGCTGCGGGCAACAGCAGGAGAACTTTGAACGCTGTGAGCTTAGTTCTCCTGTATTCCAGTGTGAATTTGTGCTTAAGGTTCATTTTTGCTTGTCCCATTGGCATATCTTTTTTTTTTTTTTTTTTGATTCTTTGATGTCGGCTCTTCCTATCCTTGTGAAGCAGAATTCACCAAGCGTTGGATTGTTCACCCACTAATAGGGAACGTGAGCTGGGTTTAGACCGTCGTGAGACAGGTTAGTTTTACCCAACTGATGAAGTGTTGTTGCAATAGTAATCCTGTCAAAATGTTTAGACACACACAAGTGCCAAACTTGTTTGTCCTTAGGCTAGCCACGTCATCTGTATTGCAAATGTGACTATAGGGACTGATGTGTGTGTGTGTGTGCATGAAATAGAGAAATTATTGGTGGTGGTCAGAGGGGCTGGATGCCTTGCTTCAGTCAGTCTGACTCAGCTTGGCGTGGGTCTGTTGGGTGGTCATGGGCATATGGGATTGATTTTAACCAAAAATGTAGTAGTAAGTAATATTTATTTATATACTGCCTTTTCACTGCAGATCTGAGTCTCAAAGCGGTTTACAATTGTTAATTTTTTGGGCATTTGTCTCTCACTCCACACAGAGATGGGAGCGGGGTCGCCAGTACAGGAGGCGCATGCCAGAACTATTGGACATATTTTTAGTGGTAGGGGAAACCGGAGTACCCGGAGGAAACCTACGCAGACACGGGGAGAACATGCAAACTCCACTCAGAAAGGCCCTGGTCTGACCGGGATTTGAACCCAGGACCTTCTTGCTGAGAGGCGGGAGTGCTATCCACTCAGCCACCGTGCCGCCCTGTAAAGCACTTTGTATTGCTTTAGTTTGTATGAAAAGCGCCTTATGAGAAACATTTGATAACTTGAAATATTGAGAGGAGTTGGAGCTATATAAGCTCAACCCCTTTTAATTTTTTTCCAGTTTATTCTGAATCTTGTTTATTCTTTTTCATGAAATGTAGATGCTCCAAATGTGCAAAGTTGGGCCATCTGTTGTGTTACATATCTTCTCCTATTGTAGAGTAGAACACATATAAACTCGCTGACAGGAAAATATCAAGTCAATTATTATAAAAGCTGAATCGTTTTGTCGAACAGTCCCATTAGAAGCAACAGAAAATAGGTCACGCAACAAAAGAGCGAGGTGCATGAGCTGCATACATCCTCCTACTCTCTCTCTCTCATACACTTTTTTGTGAAAAATGAGTCCCATTTAAAGTTTGCGTGGCAGTAAAAGACAGAGACTCACCTGCAAAGTTGAGTCGGCGAATGTGCTTGAGGAGATGGGTTCCGTTGATGGGCTCCATCTTGGCACAGAGGCCCACCTTCCCGGGGCACAGCTCTTGGTGCATGTTGTGCAGCGCGTGGGCCATGGAGTAAACGGCGTCAATTACAAACTGGACTTTTCCCTCTTGCTCGTAATTGGAGTCCTTCCCGATCCGCTCCTGGTCTGCGGAAAGATGAAGAAGAAGAATTAGGCCTTGCTCAGAGGAAGACGCTATGAAGAAATTTGCAAAAACGGCCAGGCTCCGTATTCAAAGTGCACAGCGTTTACAACCCCCACCAGTCCAACCACTTCCCCAACAACATCCTCCCACCGTGAAGCCAGGAAATAATGCACCTGAGGAGGATGCACCAACATAATTCAGCAGCAGCAAAAGTGGAAACTGAAACTACAGCTTTGCATGGTTTTGTTTGGATGGACGAAGGAGTAGAATTATCCTCCGTGTAGCGCTCAAAGCACAAGTAACATTAGTTGATCCGCCGTCATCGCAGTTTATGTTTGTTCTCGACTACTGCGTATGTCCATGTGTGGGGAAGTGGTGAGGTCATTGCAGCCAGAGAATTCACACCTTTTTCCTCACGCGGCTGTGAAATAGCCCGCCGCCGCGCACAGAGGCTGTATCTCAACGCTTGTGTTTTCACCGCCCTGAAACACCGTCTTCATGTAAACGAGAGGCCAATCCGAAACCCGACTCTAACGTTTTACCGTCGCAGCGTCCGCATGTAAACGGCCACTTAGCATGAGCTGAGGCCGTTTACAGACAAAGACACAGAGAGAAAAATACAGACACAGAACGAAACAGAGACAGAAAGACAGACACCAAGACATAGAGAGAGCCAGACAGATATACAAAAACAAAGACACATACAGACATATTTACAGTACAGACAGGCCTTTTATGTTCTAATTAACTAAATAAACTAAACTAAACTAGGCAGATATAGACACAAACACACACACACACCCACATACGCACACACAAACAAATACAGACACACACAAACACACACACACACAGGAAATATACAATTTCTGCATAACATCATTGTTATATTAAGAGCCTAAAGGTCTCACTTTGTGCATGTTGCTTTAGAATAATCAGAAAATAAATGTGTAGCTACCATTTCATCATCCAATCAAGACAAATTATTCAGTTCGAGGCTTGAGCTCCGATAGTTTTGATGAAGAAAGGCGAATTTCTGCATTCACGCCAGCGTGACCTTTTATCTGAAGAACAATGATCATAAAGAAGATCATTTTAATAATGCATAAAAAATACTGCCAACTTCTGCCAATATAGTGGTTTCAACCAGCATGCACTTCTACAGTACCTGTTTTTGACTTATTTTACAATCCTGGACTGATTGGAACAAGATGTGGCTTTTAAATAAATTAACAGCTTTCGCCTAAACACAAATCAGACATGGCAAACGCAAAAACCTTTTTAGTGGCCCCTAAAATGATTTTCAATTATTATTATTAACTTGCAGCATTGATTGTACTGTATGTGTGCTACCAAGGCATATACATATACTTTTTTCTTATGGAAGCCAACCCAAACCTAGCCCCACACATCATTAGAAGTTAAATAGTTAAATATAAAAAAAAAAAACATTTTGGTTTAATCTAAACAACCAGAAAATAACAGTTAAAATCATGTCACATCTAAATATTTGCATAATGTAAAAAAAAACAACAACATTTTTCTGGCTCTTTCTTATTTTTTTTCTTTCCGCCCATGACCAAAATGAGTTCAACACCTCTGGTATAGAGAGAAAATGCATTTCTCCCGACTCTTATTGTTCTGAATCTACAGGGTGCACTTTGCTCAGAGGTATATTTCTGGTTTCAGTGAAGAAGATCGATTCCAATATGAGAAGTGCAAGGGTCTCCATAGGGAAATCTCATCAGTAAAAAAAGGAAAAACTCCTCTCTGTTCCTCAAACATATGGATTTGTCCTTTGAGTCTTGCAGTTACTAATCAATTATTTAACATTTACAAGACATAATAAATTCCGATTATGTTTTCTAGATGTAATTCATATTCACAGAGGTGTTAAAGAAAAGGCAGGTATGTGTATTCTTGAGTCTGAGTGAGTCGAAGTAATCATGCATGACAAAGGAGCCTTGTATTTATACACACAGTAAATGAAAATCAATTAGGCTTAACGGGTTATTAACTGCACAGTGGGAGGTGGTCTGCTGAGTTTAAGATTAAAGAGTGTAATTCTGAACAGGCTCCTTATAACAGTCTCAGGAGTGAGGAGCACAATTACTGCATCCTTCAGAACTAAGTGTAATAACACAAGGGAATATAAGATGTCATATGTCTCATTATTATTATTATTATTAATATTACTATCATTATATTTTTCCCTCTAGATTAGAATATGTGTGTTTTATACTTCTTTATTATGCTAAAGTCAGCGATTGAGTACTTAATTCTTACTTCTTCATTATTCTACAGTTAAAGAATTCTTCCTTTATAACGCAAAAGCTTGAGATTTCATTTTTTATTTTCATTTCATTTAATACTTGCTTCTTTTATATGCTAAAATTAGAGATTTTATATTTTTTAATTTATTCAGTAACTGTTAATTTATTTGTATTGTTTATATAGATGAATGTGTTTCTGCTGATGGATATATATATTCATTCAATATTAGCCCCAAAATAAAGTTAGAAATGCATTCAGTTATACATGCCTATACCATACACACATGCACACACACTCACAAACACACATATACACACAACATTTGCCTTCCCACTCATCTCCAACTTTCTCTTAATCCACACTTTTACCTCCAAGTCCTGTTTTCCCAAATCACTACAGATATATAAAAGGAGCCATGTCAAAAGGTTGTTTTAGAATATAGTTCATCATCTAAAATCTACATGAAACAACAGAGACCAGTCAAATGGAGTTTCTTTTGGAGCTCTTTTGCCGACCTCCCTCTTCACCAGTGGAACTCTAAAGTAAGGCTGAGATTGATTTCGGCGAGAACGCTGTGATGTAAATGGAATAAGATGCTGTAAATCTGAATCTGAATCCATCTGTACTAATCACATCACCTGCTATTTCCTCAAAAACAAACTGATTAAAATATGCCACTGTTATTCAACTGACAAATGAGAACTAGGGCTATCAAACGATTATTTTCTTTAATTGAGTTAATTACGACAGTAGCTCAGTTGGTAGAGCATTGGCCTTAAGGCCTGAAGGTCGCGGGTTCAATTCCCACCTGGACACCTTCTCCACCGACTCCCACTGATGACTGCTGTCGTTGTGTCCTTGGGCAAGACACTTAACCCCACTTTGCCCAAAGCCCCCTCTGAAAGATCAAGGCTATGCTCACACTCAGAGAGCAGCCGTCCTCCTGTGGACTCACCACCTGCAGAGGGTCAGTGAGGGGCTGGTGCTATGAGACTTGGGTGGCATCTCTGACTGCCACCCCCCTGACCCAGAAATGGATTAAAGGGTAGAAAATGGATGGATGGATGGAGTTAATTACAGTATAAAAGTTGATTAATCGTAATTGACTGCATTTCAAACTATCGGCAAAATGATGACATATTTTTCTATGAATGGTTGTTTGAATGATAAATGACAACATAGTGTACATATGTATTTGTTTTGTTTTTTATAACAACAATAAATCCAAATAAAATGGCATTAACATTATTCACATTCTGTCTTTCTGTAGTGACTCAGACCAAAACTATTGTTTGTTACAGATGAGGGACATTTCAAAACAGTCTGAATGCAGAATGTCATTACACCTGTTTGATTTGCTCACAACATTTTACTTTTGGGCACAACCAACATGAACTGGTAGTGGAAAGGAAAAAAAAATGTACCCCAGCTTTAATTTAGCGAGTGTGCTTTGGGAGAAGACACAGGAGAGACTGAGGCTCTGCAGACTCCCGCTCATACAGACAACAGCAAGTGCCCTGCAGTCACGCGCATATTTTTAAACTTGAATTCCCAGAGGAATGTCCACGGCATTCTGAGTGTTATTATGGGTCATTTGTACATGTGTTAAATGCGTTTTTTTTAATAATTTTTTTACGCAATGAATTAAAACAATTAATTATCGTGCGTTAACGCAATAATTTTGATAGCCCTAATGAGAACATAACATTTTCGAACACTGCTCTCTATCCATCAGCTTTCCCGAATCACTATGGGCCCCTTCGGTCCAATCCCAGTCATTCCAGACGGATGGCCATTTATCATGCAACATCTGTCCTCTTTAAGGTTCAAGTAATTTTCAAGAGCCACTTCAATCTGAGAGAGTGCCACAGCCCGCAATCAGCCCCAATCTCTTTCTGTCAGCCATCTTTCATTCCCTCCTCCTCGCTCTCAGTGCAGACCATAGGCGTTTAATGTCTTAGATTATCTGCAGAGCTTTTCAGATGCATGAATTATTGTTGGAGGTTATGGCTCAGTAATTAAGGGCCTTGGGGCTGAGATTGGACCCAGACTTCCTTGGTTTGGCCACTTTGCGTTTCTCGGGGGGAACTTTTTGCGAGCTGGAGTAGGCGTTTAGGAGGGATCGTGTTGCATATGTATTCCCAGACCACCTACACCGTCTCCATTGTCAGTTCTTGTCCTCGTTGGCATTTTTGGCTCGATTGTGCACTTTTTTTCCGGCCTGCCATTTCACTTTAGAAATATCCATTGAGATTAAGGAACGCTGGAGAAAAAGTGGTGGGTGTCTCTCAGAGTGGCGCGTCATTCGGGACATTTCTGTGATGTGTGTGGGCTACAACCTTTGCCCTGTGCTATCGCCGCAAGCTAGCGTTTCCTCGTTTTATGCTAAAACATTTTGACGGCTTGCTAAATTCACACCAAAAACTAGAGCACTCGATTTGTCCTTAACTATTGAGTAGTGACATAAAGCAAGGAAACCAAACTATCTTTTTGATCTATTCCTGAAGACTACATGCATTAAATCAAACCATTTTCCTTATGACAGTAACATATGGCAACTTCTGTTTTTCTTCCAGTTAAAAAGTGCCATTCATACATTTTGTTAGGTGAGTGAGCGTATGTGTCCTTCGGCACAGCTCTCTTCTAATTAATCAACGTTGATGGACAGGAGTGATGACAAGTTGGAAACAGAAATTCATTATGGAAAGAACAAGCATTCACTGAAAATATGACACACAAATCTAAACAAAAAAGGACGTGAGATAATAATGTATCATTTCAGCCTGACATTACCTTTGGGTTATGGCAGCGGTGTCAAACTCATTTTGGTATAGGGCCGAAGAAAAAATGAAAGAGCTGGTGTCGGAGGGCAAAAGTATGGAAGTGTTTTTTTTTATTCTAATAGAGATATTTTGATAAATTGCTTGTTAGATTGGATAATAATTTCCCGTACATTTTCAAACCAGAAAAGAAAAGCACTGGATAAACATGACAAGGTTTTGATCTTAGAACTCGAGGAGCAGGTTTATCAGAATTGTGTTTTTGTTTCACTGCAGACACAACTGGATTGAGCTGGTTGTGCAGAGGTGACAGAGGAAAGGCTGTTTGCTGCATGGGTGAATGGCCTTTCTTAGACAGGCTTGTGGTTGGTGTGTGTGTGTGTGTGTGTGTGTGTGTGTGTGTGTGTGTGTGTGTGTGTGTGTGTGTGTGTGTGTGTGTGTGTGTGCGTTCACATGTTGCGTGTGCGTTCACATTTCTACTTATTCCTACGTATTATGTCTTCTGTATCATCCGACCAATTTTCGGTGTTACTGATTTGACTGTAGTTGTGAAGCCCATTGGTGCTGCCTTCATTGAAAGAGCCAGGTCCCTGTTAAAAAGCCTATCCAGTGTGTGTCGGCAATCGTTTTGATGAAAGATATTTCAACTTGCTTCCTGCTTCTCGAGAGAGCAGTCGTGTCTCTCTGCTCTGCTTTTGCTTCGCCTTTTAATCTCCTTGAATCATTTTATTTACATTTTTTGTTTCTCCTTTAATCATTTTATTTACAAAACGAGGATTACTCCTTCTACACACTTCAGCTTTGTGGAATTTATCAACTTTAGTCATGTCGGGACGAAAGAGACGGAGAAGCGTCTGCGGCGGCTGTTGTGCTCTGGAAAATCAGCTCAAATTTCTTCAAACACGGATATCTATTGTGGAAACAGAAATGGGACTAAACCCGACTCTTCCAATGAGTGAAAATGGGATGAATGGACAGACTGGAAATGTAAGTTATGACGTCATTTCTTTTCCCAAAATCAACAATGAGAATTATCGGAATAATTGTGGAGCTAAACCCAAAGTTGACAAAGCTAAGAATGACAATAGGAGTGAAATAAGGCCACAACTAAATGTTCTGAAGACTTCAAACCGCTTTTTACCCCTTTCTGAAACAACAAAGCCGCTAACAACTGCAGCGCCTCCACCAAGGACAAACTGTGTCCTTATCAGAGATGGTTCGGTGAAAAATGTAAACATGGAGTCCATGCTCACTGTCTCAGTTCACTCTGCAAAAGTTGCTGAGATAAGGACTCTTCTGCCTAAAGTGTTATCTGAGAACAGTGGTGTGCGTACATTATTGATCCACACGGGGGCGGTAGATATCTATGAGAAGGCAAGTGAGAAGTTACGAATGGATTTAACGCTGTTACTGGATGACCTCAAGAAAATGGACATAAACATTTTTCTAAGTGGACCACTTCCAAATATAGATGGAAAAATGTAGAAGTTTAGCCGTCTGTATCAGCTAAATACATTCCTACTCAATGAGTGTTCACGCAGAGGACTTGGCTTCATTGAAAACTTTAATCTGTTCTGGAATAGACACGAGCTTTTTGAAGAAAAAGGTCCACATCTGAACAACTACGGAGTAAAAGTGTTGATGGATAACTTTGCATCTGCCCTAAGACATCAGCCTGCGCAGCGCTTGCAGCCGTCAAAAGGGAGAAAGAAGAAGCAAAGGGCACAGACATCACGACCATCTCCACCGACTCCCGAGGTCTCTGCACCCCCACCGCCTCAAAAGAACTCCACACCTCCACGATTCAAGAAGAACTCAACACCTCCAAGGTTCCAAAAGAACTCAACACCTCCACGGCTCCGAAAGAGCTCAACGCCTCCACCACCAGCATCATCAGCAGCTGCCACATCTTCATCAGCGCCATCAGCATATACAGCACCACCAGCAGCAGTGGATACAGCAGCAGCCGTGGCTGCTCCATCATCTTCAGCAGCAGCAGTGGCTGCTCCATCATCTTCAGCAGCACCTTCCCCACCTACAGCTCCCGTGAAGCTTCCCCCATTGCTCCAGGCTACAGTCAGGCCTGACTGGGGGTTCCTCAACCACCTCTGTCTCCACCAAAGACTCCCTCATCACCTTCCATGGACCCGGCTTGGGTCCCCCCCGCTACATCCACTCCATCTAGGGACTCTCCCCTGTCACTGTCGCTGCCCACACGCACACACACACGCACACACACATACAGACACACTCCCCAGTATGAACTCTGCGGAGCTGTCTCTAAACCAACCTTTCCCTTTGTTTTCTATCCCCGCCTTCACTGGAATTACCGGAACACTCGGCAGGCATGATAAGATCTGCGATGAAGACTATTCCTCTCACATCCACTGTAGCCAGATCAAGAGTCCTATCTAACATTCAAAACTACTCCCCATACGTACCTCCAAAGCCACCTAGGGCGTCCAACTCAAGTTCTCCCACAAAATCCACCCGTCCCTCCTCTAACCCCATAAGTATTCCACCCCCCCCTCCTGCTCATTTAGCCCACCTCCCCCCTAACTCAGCACCAAGAAACCCTCCACCTCCACTCCCCCCTCGTCCACCACCCAACTCAGCCTGCCCCTCCCCTAACCCATCACCAAAAACCCATCCACCTTCAACCCCCCACCCCGTCCAACTCCCAAGAACCACTCGCCTCTCCATCCTCTTCCCCCGCCTTCCCATTCCCCTCTTTTCTCTAAACACTAGGATGCACAGGGTCTCTGCTTCGCAGCCACTGGCAGTCTAGTTAGAGGAGAGACCCGGCTGGGGCCCTGTCATGAAGCCACCTGTGCCATTCCCTTAGTGATAACACAAAGAATACATAACAGAAAAATATCTGAAGTTAATCAGTCTAATCAGGAAAATCTAATTCTTGTTCCGTGTAAGAATCAGCCGACCGCAGCCGCTGATCCTGAAACTTTGAAACTTGCTATGCTAAATGTCAGATCTCTTTGTAACAAGTCTTTTTTAATCAATAATTTTATTTGTTCTTATAATCTAGATCTTATGTTCATGGCTGAAACATGGCTTGACCAAAATACAGAAAATGCAGTTTTAATAGAAGCATCACCACCAAATTTCAAATTTGAATCTGAAATACGGGAAAACAAAAAAGGACCACTTTGTCTCCCATAGAATGTCTCTTGGGAAGTTTCCGTCTTTTGAATGTGTGTCTTTTAAAATACAACAAAAACAATCTCCTCCAATACTTTCCGTTGTCCTATACAAGCCACCGCAGTCATGTCACAGTTTTATTGATAATTTTACAGAGTTTCTTTCAGTTGTATGCACAGATTTTGATAGTTTAGTTATTACAGGTGATTTTAATATTCATGTGGATAATGTTGATGACAGAAATGCTAAAGAGCTGAGTTCTGTTCTTGAATCTTTTGGTCTCACTCAGCATGTGAGTGGCCCCACCCACAGCAGAGGGCACACTCTAGACCTGTTAGTTACAAAGGGGGTGAACATTTCTAATGTAAACGTGGTCGATGTTGCGCTTTCGGATCATTTTTGTATATTTTTTGACATGTGTTTCACTAACAAACCACCAGTGGACTCTGCAACTGTACGAAGAAGACACATAAATGAAAATACGAGTGAACTATTTATGGGAATGGCAAACTTTGAGAATGCATCGTATTCTACTATAGATGAACTGTTTAACTCTGTCACCTCTAGTGTTTTGAAAGTTCTGGACACCATCGCTCCTGTGAAGGTTAAAATAGTGAAAAATAAGCAGAAGGCGCCGTGGGCTAAAGCAGACTCGGTCAGGGCACAAAAGAGAGAGTGCCGGAGGGCCGAGCGGAAGTGGCGCAAGTCCAACCTCCAGGTTGATTACAAGATCTTCAAAGATAAGTTGTGCGAGTTTAACCAGGTGCTACGTAGTACGAGAGAAAGGTACAATCTGCGTGTTCTGTTTTCAACAGTTAATAGATTAACAAACCCCCCTGTTCAAATGCCATTAGAGCTAACTTCCAAACGTAAATGTAATGAGTTTGCACATTTTTTCAATGACAAGGTTCAAGGCATCAAAAACGCCATTGTCTCCAATCCACAGATAACAATCCAACAGCCAGAAAGGCTCTTTGAGCTAACTTACTTTGCACCTGTAAATGATCAAACTGTCCAAGAGATAATCTCCAGTTTGAGCTCCTCCACATGCAGCCTGGATGTACTACCCACTAGATTTCTAAAGTCTGTTCTGAGCAGTCTGTTACCTACACTCACACAGATAGTAAACATGTCCCTTAATTCTGGAATATTCCCAAAGGCCCTGAAAACTGCAGTCATCAGGCCCCTGCTAAAAAAGAGCAGCCTGGATGCTACGGTACTTAACAACTATCGTCCCATCTCAAATCTGCCATTTATGGGGAAAGTCCTTGAAAAAGTTGTCTACCTACAGCTTACTAGATTTCTTATAATCAACAACTCATTTGATATGTTTCAGTCCGGCTTTAGACCCCACCACAGCACTGAGACTGCTCTCGTCAAGGTTACAAATGATATCCGGCTGAACACTGACGCAGGCAAAGTCTCAATCTTAGGCCCTGTTTATACTGAGACGTTTCCAGGCTATTAACAGAAACGACCTGGCTCCTAATGCAAATTTCTCTGCGTTCACATGAGGTTGAAAAACGATGTAGTTCTAGCGCCCGGCCAGTAGTGGGCAGATAAACTTTACAACACTCACACGACCCCCCAGCCCCGTGCCCAGCCCCCCTCTCGGCAGTATACTCACTTCCTGTGCCAGACACTCAGAACGCACCAACATCATTCTGCATTTTAACAGCATCTGGGAGAATGGAAACTGAACCTAGAGCTTCGCGTGGTCTCGTTTGGACGAATGAAGGTGTAGAATTATCCTCTGTGCTGCGCTGGAAGCCCACGTAGCTAGTTTGTGTGGGCGGCACCATTATTGTTTTTGTTTGTTCTCCCGCTACTGCGCATGTCCAAATTTACGTGCGGGGAGCAGCGCGGAGGTGGGGGTCAGAGCAGAGGGGGATCATTTCACACCTTTTCCCCTCTCGCGGGTGTGAAAAAGCTCCCTGCTGTGCAGCGTTTCTGCAGAGTTGTCCCACTCTGCAGGCTGGATCTGAACACTTACGTTTTCACCCCCCTGGAACACAGTCTTCGTATGAACGGTTGGTAGCAACCGACATCCAACTATACCGTTTTACTGCCACATTGTCTCCGTGTAAACTCAGCCTGACACTGTCGACCATGAGATCCTCTTACAGAGATTAGAGGACTGGGTTGGAGTCGCTGGCACCGCCCTAAGTTTGTTTAGGTCTTACCTTGAAGACAGGAAGTACTTTGTGGAGATTGGAAACTGTGTCTCAGATCATATGGCCCTGACCTGTGGAGTGCCACAGGGGTCGATCCTGGGACCTCTTCTGTTCAATCTCTACATGCTGCCGTTAGGTCAGTTAATACGCAGAAACAAAGTGTCCTATCACAACTATGCAGACGACATTCAGATCTATGTCTCACTGACTGCAGGAGAACATGGACCAGTGGACTCACTCCTTCACTGTATCCAACAGATCAGTGAGTGGATGCAAAACAACTTCCTTCAGCTAAACGCAGACAAAACTGAAATGATTGTCTTTGGTCCCCAGAAACAAAGAGAGAGCGTCATCTGTCATCTACAGTCTCTCTCCCTAAAACCTTCAAACAAGGTAAGAAATCTAGGGGTAATACTGGACTCAGACTTAAATTTTAATAGCCACATCAAATCAGTAACATCAGCAGCTTTTTACCATCTAAAAAACATTGCCAGGATCAAAAACATAGTGTCTAAAGCAGACCTGCAGATTCTTATCCATGCATTTGTCTCCAGTAGGTTAGACTACTGCAATGGCCTGCTCACAGGTCTCTCCAAACAGGCTGTAAAACAGCTGCAGTACATTCAAAATGCAGCAGCTCGAGTCCTGACTAGAACCAGGAAGTACGACCACATTAGTCCGGTCCTCAGGTCTCTGCACTGGCTTCCTGTGGCTCAGAGAATAGACTTTAAAACAGCTCTGCTTGTGTACAAGTCTCTCCATGGCCTCGCACCAAAATATATTAGTGACATGTTAGTCCCATATGAACCAGCCCGGACTCTGAGGAGCACAGGGACTGGACTCCTGTTAGTGCCCAGAGTCAGAACTAAACATGGGGAGGCTGCTTTTCAGATTCATGCTGCTAAAATCTGGAACAATCTTCCTGAAGATGTGAGACAGGCCTCCTCTCTGACAATGTTTAAACCAAGTTAAAAACGTTCTGTTTAGCTGTGCATACAACTGAGTGATTATTTATGATTTTAATGCTTTCTTGTTCTGTTCAGCACTTTGAATTGCCTTGTGTATGAATTGTGCTATATAAATAAACTTGCCTTGCCTTGCCTTGCCTACTGCGGCTTCTGTGGATGTCAATGACGGAGGACGTTTCTAATTAATTATTAGTAAGTAATGAAATGTTATTGATACCTGAAGAATGGGGGTGGGGGGCCTAGGGGGGCTGGGGGGGTGGGTGTGTGTGTGTGTGTGTGTGTGTGTGTGTGTGTATTTATGTTGGGATGGGTGGACCCATGGGAGGGAGGGGACAAAAAATGTAAAATGTTCACGCATTTATTTTCTGCTTCATAACCATTGTCATTTCTGTATGCAGCGCAACACAATAAATACTTGATTAAAAAAAAATAATAATAAACTTTGTACATGAATAGAACGCAGTTGAATGCTAGTCGCAGGTTTGTAAGGTATGTTGTAAGGCACACATACCCGATATGGCACCAGAACCTTAGAGAGTGCGTGATGTGCAGCAGTTCTGTACCTAATTATAGCAAATCTTCATATGAAATAGAATTATAAACATCTCATTTTAAATCTGCATTAACTGTATTTTCGTATTCATTACGAAAATTCAATCCATATCCATGCAGTGCATTGGGATATACGTCCTTTTGAAGAAAAAGTAGCGCAGATTTGTGTTGGCGTGTCATTTAATTTTTGGTGAAACAAGGAAGAGAATTTGTTTCGGGTCCCGATTGTGACCAATCACAGCGGACCACTGGCCCCCGCTTTCTTGAGAAAAGCTACAGGTCTCTCGTTAGCACAGACAGCTGAGTTAGCACAACAAGCGGCAGAGGCTAACCTGAAACTGTGTGTCTTCGTTACTACTTACACAGCGAAACATCCATCCAAAAGAAAGTCTTGTCCTCTCCACCCTTCCCGGTGTAGCAGGCCAGTTTAACCCCCCGCCAGAATACACCCGGGGTTAAAGTAGCCTAGGCCAGATTACACCCCGGGGTTAAAATAGCCTAGGCCAGAATACACCCCGGGGTATAAACTGGCCTAGGCCATTTTAACCCCCCTTAGGCCAGATTAACCCCCCCTTTCATTTTGTATGATAACAATAAAATACAAGCAATATTTTTTTTGTATTTCTTTATTTCTTACTAAATACATTTAGGAAAAGATATGGTGGTGATATTCTATATAAAACTATAATGATAAAACTAAATGATCTGATGAGCTGCTATCAAATGTTCTTTTTTAGTGCACTTCTTCTGGAATATTGTCAGAAAAGATACGCTGGCAGCATTCAAGTACATGTCATTCCACTTGTGGCAAGTTGTTAAACCAAACTGTTTAAAAGTCCGTAACTACAGAGAACATCTATAACTTCCTAATATA